TTTTTTTCTTTTTATGGATAGGCTAAAAAAGTGTCATGGATTAACTAAAAGATTGCATATCTAAGATTTGCCAAGCCAAGTCATGTAGATTTTTCTCCCATGTTTTCTTCTAAAATTTTTATAGTGTATGTTTTGCAAGTAGACGCATTTTGAGTTAGTTTTTGTATGATGTGTATGATTTAGGTTGAAGTTTTTTTTTTTGTATATCCTGGTTTGTTAGTATTTCATTTATAGCTTGTCTACTAGCAACAAATCTCTTAATTCTCCATCAGATAAGACTGTTTTATTCCTGAAGGATATTCTTGCAGGATGCAGTATTATGGGTGGATAATTCTTTTCTTTCAGTACTTAAAAGATACTGTTCCATTGCCTTTAGAATTCATAGTTTTAATAAGGAGCTTCATATTACTTAAATGTTTCTTAATATGCAATCTGACTGATTTTAAGATTTTTGGCTACCTTCAATTTTTGGCTTTCAACTTTATGGTGATGCATCTGGTTATGAATTTCTTGGTGTTTTCCTTGTACAAGTTTTGCCTTTTTTTTTAATTTATAGGTTTATATCTTTTATCCACTATGGTACATTTACACTCATTTCTTTTCCCAGATAGTTTTTTTCTGTAGTATATACTCTTCATCTGGGGCTCAGATGGCAGAAATATTAGCCCTTTTCTTATTGTTCCACAGATCCCTGAGACTCTGTTCTAATTCCTTCTCTGTCTCCTTAATTCATAGTGAGTTTTTTCCCCCCTCTTATTCAGATAGAATATTAAAATTTATAAAACAAACAAACATAAAAGCAATTGTTATGCTTTTATGCTTTCCCTCCTGTAGTTACCCCCTGTTTCTCAGAACAGCAATAAGGGCATTTTTAGAAGCTCTTTCTTTATATTTGTATCTAATTACTGATCCAAGTTTCAGGCTGTTTGTGAGTTTAGGACAGGAAATGTCAAAAATAGGAAACTCACTACCAAAGTTGGGTGGTAATTAGTTTTCCTGGTAGTCTGCTTATTCTGAGTCTGCAGATAGTTTTTCTGTATCTTCCATCCAGAATTTTTAGTTGCACACACTGTGAGAAAAAGAGTGAAATCTGCATCAGTAGGGAAAGACTTTTCATCGTATGGGAAAAGTAGCCTGCCACATACAGAACTAAGAGGGTCTCTGTCTCCTTTATTCCTTTCATGTGCTCATCAACCTATGTAGTGCCCTGTCAGAATAGATTGGCCTTTGTGCTGGCCCTTTCAAGTGAGTGTCCTTTTATATTCATAATAAATGTGGATGCAAGGAAATACTAGTCTTATAACATAATTCTGTTCTTCTCTACCCCTCATCTTATTTTAGGATTTGTTTATGTGTTTGCTTTTGCAGATCTTTTCACAGATGCTGCTGAGACTGAAAAAATGGCTCAAAGTTTGGAAGATTCTGAAGGAGTTTACTTTGTTCCATCTTTTAGTGGATTGCAGGTATTATGTTTTTAGAAAGCTGTCATCAAATACAAACTTATCTCTTCTCATACTGACACCCAAAATTATCCATCCTCTTCTCCCTTTACAGAAAATTGGTACTTAGTAGAATTAAGTGATTGAGTATTTTAGGGCTCAGAAACTGTGCTTTGATAGAGCAAATTCCATGAGAAGGTAGAGCAAATTCAAATGGCTTTTGCTTAAAACATCGTTCTCCTCCTATTCAGGATGATGTGAGGCAATTAATTAACATCCATAATAGGACAAGGGATGAAGAATATTTGAGATTTCAGAAGGCAGGTTAGAGGAATAGTTATTATAAGCAAGATAGGCTTTAATTAGGTTTTTATGGATTTTTCCCTTTTTGAAACATGTGCTACAAAGCTCAGTAGTGGCTTTATTATGGCAACTTTGTCTTTAATGTCTCCATCAAACCATGTTCCTATAAAAAATTATATACATATATGTAAATCACATGCTGAAGTCCAAAATATTAGACAAAATAATTGCAGATGTGGTTTCTAATTTTATGTTGATAACAAAGTATCCCTTCCTGTCATGATTGCAATTTGATAATATGTTGGGTTTGGGAGGAGTAGGGAGACACTGCAAACCAAGTATTCCTAATGTAAAGTAAAACTCTAACTGGAAACAGAAATTTAATGCGCACAGCAGTAATTTGTTGATACTGTGTGGTTTGGGAAATAGTGGAGAGATCACTTACAAGCTGCCAGTGTCCAAAACTAGAAAAAAAAAAAAAGAGATTGGGGAATAGATGGAAGAAAGGGTTAAGTGTCTGTGACACTGTCTTCGACATTTGCCTCTAACAAAATATTGCTACAGCCATAGGTGATGGAGGCAGAATATTGAAGGCTCCTAATAATTTCATTTTATCAGGGCAGTCTACTGACAATAGGGCATTAGAGGAACTTTAAAGAAAGTGGGAGTGACTGAGACAGCCACTTTGGGGAATGGCTGGGAGGATGAGAGGGAACTTGGGGTGAGGGGGTGGTATTAATTGGTACAGCTATTGTGACTGCTCTATTGGTAGTGTTGTTTGAGTCAAGCACACAAAAGTAGAATATTCATGACAGTTATCATAGGTGAGGGTCAGTGATTGCCAACCTCATGTTAAAGTAACTGTGGTGATGGCAGAAGCAGGATGGACAAGATGGTGAGCCAAGTGTCAGTCGTTAGAAAGTAGGCATATTCCAGTGAGCATTCTTAGATTTGCAAGGAACAGGTTTGTTCCTCACTGAGAGAGCCAGTTCTCATATATCCTGAGAACTGGAAATAGAAAGTCGTTGGCAGCTAACTGCATTTTTCTTTTCTTTTAATTAATTTTTAGATAGTATTTGATTTCTCCTCTGGTGTCGTCCTTGTAGTTCTCCTACTGTTTCTCAAGTGTTCTGATTTCTGCTTCTCTCTGTCTGCTTTTCTTATTTTATTATTGACTTTGCTCCATATTTTTGATTCCTTCTAACTTTGCTTAATTATTTTCCTTGTGCTTTCTGCTCCTTCACAATTTATAAATATATATAAAGCTTTCTCCTACCTTGTATATTGTTTTATTACTTTAACCCCTTACTAGTTCCTGCTGATGGTCTTTTTCTTAGTGTTCATATTTGCAGGAAAAGGAATCCAGTTGGATCCAATTGGATCACCTGGTCTTTTCATGCTTGAATGGACTTTGAGGCAGTCTCCCCCTATGTTTTGAGCAGCAGTGGGACCAGGGCGTGGAACTTGACTGCTTTAGACAATAGGGCCTGTGAATTCAGTTTTCTTAGTAGAGGATGTGACCAGCAAGTACTATGAATGCCATCTCTAATTCTGAGAGTGATTAAGTTGTCTGAGCTGTGGACAGGTGAAGGGAGCTACCACACAATTTTGATATGGAGTTGAGTGAATATGGGAGAAAGGAAATGTAAACAGTAGCTGCATAGTAAAGATAAAAGGCGATGTAGAACTTTTTCAGTTAGGTAATTAGGAAAAGTATTATTTGTTCTTTAACTCAACAAAATGGTGTTGATACCCATGGGGCCAAACATAGTCCAGGTCCTTGAGTCACAGCAGATGAGTTGCCACCTGTGACAGTATAGCAAGGAAGGTAGAGTTTGAACAAACAACCATACAAATGTTTGAGATTATAAATTTTGGCACATGATGTAATGGGAGGTTACAGTGGATCATAAAAACATAATAGGGGACCTGATCTAGTCTGTGGGGTCAGAAGTTTTCCCAGAGCCAATATTTGGAGGAAAGAGTAGGATTAAGTAGGAGAAAGGGTGTTTAGTGTCCCTGGTAAACAGATGTTTCGAGACCCGAAAGCTTGAAGATGCTTTTCCTGGAAACCCACCTCTCCCAGGAGCACTACGTGTCTCTGTCATGGTCTTAGCCGGTGTGTTGAAACTGTCCTATTCCTTGGTCAGGCTTTAGCTCTGGCAGAGCAATTGGTTTTCATTTTCATGAAATCGTCTTGCATTTCTGAAGATGAAAAGATATATATAAACTTCCTTGGATGAATACATAATTCCAGCTCAAGATTTTGGCTCTTTTAAAAGTTGCTTGGCTGGGTCATATCTGATATTAGACAACAAAACCACTGAACTAAGAAATAGAAGTATTTCGTTTGAATGTCTAAAATACTGAGTGTGAACTATGACATGAAACACATTTTTGTATTTCATTTTTTTTTAACCATCTCACTTGTATATTCAAAAAACAGCCCTATATAGCAATCAATTTTAGTGTAAAGTCTTTTTAGTTAAAGAAACGACGGAAGTACTAGGATTACCTTTCATTTTTTCTCATTTGTAAATCTGAATATTTAATCATCTGTACTTAAGTCCCTTTTCTTGGTATGAGTTCAACCAGAAGTTCAAAATTCAGTATCTGAGACTCAGCCTTGCTAAAGGCCCTTAAAACACTTTACCCTAATATTTAACATAATTTTGGAGCTACCATTTTTTTTAAACTAAGTATTCTTTCTTTTTAACATGGCTATGTTTTTGTTGTATAATATGTCTTCAAGCTGATAGACAGGATATAGAACAATAGTAACGTATTCTTACTATCTCTTAATTTAGGCTCCATTGAATGACCCCTGTGCATGTGCCTCTTTTATGGGTTTGAAGCCTTCAACCAGTAAATACCATCTTGTACGAGCAATATTGGAGTCAATAGCTTTCAGGTACCAAAACCTGCACTCTTCCTCATACCTAATTACCATTTCCTTCCGTAAATTCCTATGAACTAGAAACTTCTTAATTTTAATTGAAGGTTTATACCTTTAATTAATTTATAATCTACATGACATAATCTATTCTTATTGATAATTTTCCCCTTTACACTTAATACTATTAGTACCAGTGAGATTTGATACTGGAAGTTGAATTTTTTTAATATCCAGTTTCTAAAGCATGCCAGATTAAATCTTTAGACTTACAAAGATTTCAGTCCTTATTCATGATTCAAATTCCAACTAATAATGTTTGCTATATCCAAACATTAAATCATTGAAGTCATCTTATTCTATAATGGTCTTTCTGGGCAGGAATAGCTTATTAAGCATGTCACTGTCAAAAAAAAAAAAAAAAAGAAGGAGGTCAATGTCATGAATGTGGAGTATTTTGTTGTAATGTTCAAGATCTTTCTGATTATAAAACAATTATTTTTATATGTGATGAAGTCTATTAGATAATATGTATGGTATATCATCTTAAGCTTTCTGTTGAATACTTGGTCTAAATTGTATTTGTAGGAATTATAATAGATTAAATTTAGTTTAAAAAAATTTAGTTCTAAAATGAAATTTATGCTCTTGTATCAAGGGGAGAAGCATAAAGCTTTGAGCCCTTGTTTACTTAATAATCTTATTTATGTTGATGTTTAGTTAGCATTATACATTTCTTTAATACATCTTTTCAAATATGCTAGTTTTATTATTTTTCTTTCTTTCTTTGCACAGAACTGAGGTATAGAGGGTGAGATGATTCACGAGAGACAGTGTGGGGAGTAGAACAGATGGATTTACACTGCTAATGGGAGCAGCAGGCAAGACAGGAGAGCTCTGCTGTGCCATATGTGGGTTAGCTCCCTGGCCAGAGATTGAACTGAGGCTGTTGTGGTGATAGCAATGAGCCTTAATTTCTAAACCACTAGGGAGGTCCTTAATATTTTCTTTTAACTATGGTATAAATACCTGTACAGAAAACCACTGTGTTTATTTTCTGGATTAGAAAAAAATAGAGAATTCTATGATACAAATTTCCTCTATATTGTTATTTTGTTCTTTTAACTAGAAACAAACAGTTATATGAGGTGATGCAGAAAGAGATCCATATTCCAGTAACAAAAATTCGGTATGTAAGCCCTATTTCTAATAGATTTAATTAGAAATAAGTGGTAGTTGCTATGAGTACTTTCATCATTATGCTTACTTAGGATTTCAAAAAAAGGTTATAGCTAGCTTCTTTGTGACAAAATTCTTGGCCATAGAAATTTAAAAAGGGAAGAAAAATTAATTTGGATTTACAGAGAATTTAATACAATGTGAAATTTTTGAGAGGATATTAGTATCCATATCTATATTATAAAAATCTTTAAAATTTCTTTTTTGGGGGTACATGGCTATTATTTTGGTGTGAAAGCATCAAATTTTCTTTGCTGGAATGTCCAAATGAATTTCCATGTTGGCCTGTTTCATTTGGCTTGTTTTGAACAAGTCCCAGGACAAACTGAGCAGATGGGAAAGTGGATGGTAGGAAAAAAGGAAAGTTTAAAGATTACCTAGTAAGGTCCTCCACCTTCACATCAATGCTAAATGATAAAATTTTAAGAGTTAAAACATTAAACTATGTGGTGGAAGACTATGGGTATCTTGCTGGTGGGCATGGCATGGTAGAATATAATTGAAGAGGTGTGATCCTATATCTCAATCATAGTGTTGTTGATTTCAATATTACCTCAGTTTAAAAAAAAATAGAACAATTTAAAAAATCTTAAACTTAAAAAAATAAAATCAAGAATATAAGAAAAACGCGATCCATTTAAAAAGGGCCAATAATGTTTTCATGCTTTTGTTGCATTAATTTATCTCAATTATCTTATTCCCCACAGGGCAGATGGAGGAGTTTGTAAGAACAGTTTTATCATGCAGATGACTTCGGACCTGATTAATGAGAATATAGACAGGCCAGTCCATATTGACATGTCGTGCTTAGGTGCAGCTTCTCTAGCTGGCCTTGCTGTTGGTATGTGTGGATTTTATAAAAACTAGAACTTCCTTGCACAGTGTTTTAGTATTTCTCTCATTTTGCATATTTCCCAAATTGCAAATATTAGCAACTGGAGAGCCTTAGGTCCATTAAGCTCCACATATATATGTATAGCTTACAGAATACTTCGATGATCTCCTCTATGGTGGATCTGATTGATGACACCTTTCCCATCCACACTTCACTCCTTCATTCATAAGTAGCAAGAGGGCACTCCCTGGTAGCACAACAGGATAAAGCACCGCACTGTGACGCTGTCCGCAGCCACTGCAGCACAAGTTCGATTCCCTGCCAGAGAGGTGACTCAGATGGTGTGGCAGACCCCTCCTGACCTGCCTGCTGCTCCTCTCAGCAGTGTGTTTAAGTCAATCCCTCTGTTCTGTTCCCTGCTGTCTCTGGTGAATCCTCTCTCTCATCCCCCACACCTCTGGCCTGCACCTCAGATTTTGTGTCCATAAGTTATAAAACGAAGCAGCGTGAGACAAAGACAAATAATTCTTAAGTGTTTAGCAAGGAATAGTCAGTGGGTAAACTTTGAGTACATAGCCTAACCTTTGCTATTAGAGACCATTGTTCTCTTATTTATGGAACAGTATTTGGTAAGTACATTGCTACGTGACAGTCATTGCTCTGAAAAAAGAATTTTAAGAGCTAGTCTCTGTTGGAGTCTCTGGTGGGGCAACCAGAAAAGCAACCACTTGTTGTGATACACCTCGCAGACATAGTGTTATGTAAGTGGTGTAGGCATTTTAGAGGTGGCAACGTCAAACTCAGTTTTGAAGGAATTAGCCCTCAGCCAAATAAAAAATGGATGAAAGGTGAGTGGTCCATAGAGAAAGCAGATCTTGCAAATGTCGTTTAGTAGGTGCTTACATGGTGAGAGCAATGCTAATGTGGTGAGAACAAGTGGGCTTAGAAGTTGTGTTGGACTGCTCATAAAGAGGACTTCAGACCTGATCTTGAAGGCAGTGGCGAGCCACTGAAGAATTTGAAGCAGGGGAAGCACATGGAAAGATCAGCATTTGAACAGATCACTCCTAGGCAATTAATTGAAAGGATTAGTTGGTAGGGGTAAAGAATGGAAATGGGAAGGCCAATTAAGGAGCTCCCTAGGAGACTGGATGATGCCGTGAGACACACAGGATTTGAATTTGTGAGAATTATGTGTACAGAATAATAACAATGTATATTATATGGAAAGGAGGAAAGTTTGTGTAAAACAGGATAATTTACAGTTTAATGATTTAGGTTAAAATTTAGCATATCAAAGTTGCAAAATCCAAAAAGCATGAAATCTTGGTTAGTTCAACTTAAATTTGTTCCTACTAAAAGACTATTAATTTTGAGTAAAATTGAAACATTTATTTCAATTGTTTATAAATTAGTTACTAGTTAATTCAGTTTGTAGAAAATAACTAATCCCACTTGCAAATTTAATTAAATTTTTTTGTATGTTTAAGTTCTTACAAATTTAATATAGTTGATTTTCCTAATGTTTCACATGCCTAACTGAGCAAACTTACAGCTGTACTTAGGAAAATCTCAAATTCTTAAACAACTCTTATAAGTTGAATAAATTAAACTTAAATTCTCATAAACATATTATAATATTAAAGGTTGTTCCCTCCCTGGTGGCACATGGGTTAAAGTGCAGCACTTTGAAGCTATATGCAGCCACTGCAGCACAAGTTTGATCCCCACCAGGGAGATAACCCACATGGCGTGGCAGACCTCTCCTGTCCTGACCTGCTCCCCCCAGCAGTATATTTCAGCAGATCTGCCTTTTCTGCTCCCCACTCTGTCTCTGTCACTCCCTTCACTTCTGGTCTATACCCCAGTTCTTGTATACATGAATAAATAAATCTTTTTTTTTTTAAAAAAAAGGTCAATCAGCTTTTTTCTGTATTTTTCACACTGTAAGATTAAATACATCATAATTTTCTTGAATGTTTAAAACACAAATTATTCTTTCTTATAATAACAGCTCTATTATATTGCTACATACATATCATTATATAATTCAATTTTTTTTCTGAGTTTTTTGTAGATTTTGAATATTAGTCCTTGTCACATGTATGGATTCTGCAGGGTGTATTTTCATTTTAATGCTAGTTTCTTTCTCTGTGCAGAACCTTTTAGTTTGATGCGTTTCCATTTATTTTGTTTTTGTTTCCCATACCTTAGAAGTTGGGTCTATAAATTCATTATTGACACGAGTATCATTAGTGTGTTTTGCCCCTTTTCTTATTTTATGGCTTAGGGTCCTACACCTAAATCTTTAATCCACTGAGTTAATTTTAGCACATGGTATGAAATAGTGCTTCAGTGTCTTAAAAGTTTTCATTGTATGGGTCCTTCATCTTCTTTGTTAAGTTTATACCAAGGCACTTAATACTTTCTGATGTGCTAATAAAAGAGATTGTTCTCTTCATTTCTTTCCCTCCTAGTTCACTGTACATAGGGATACAACTCTTTGGGGGTTTTTTGTGCTTTTTTTTTTAGTGATTAAACTTTTTTATTTTCTAACATTATGGTTCATTTTTATATATTTCATTTCCTCCCTTAAGTGTAATCCCCACAAAACTCCCACCACCCATCACTTGTAAACCCTCACATAGTACTTTGTGTGCTTCCCTCCCCTGTTTTCATTTCTCAAATCCCTGCCATGCCTCAGACCTACAGTTCCGCTTGCAAGCTTTGTCTTGGTTTTTTTTTTAACTTTTGTTTGATTTCTCTATATTCCTCCTATATGTGAAACCATCTGCTATTTTTCTTTTTCCTTCTGACTGAGCACGATCCCTTCTACCTCCATCCATGTTATTGCAAATGGTATAACATTTTATCCTTTATAAATACTGCTGAGCAGTATTCCATTATGTATATATAACACATCTTCTTGATCCATTCATCTGTTTTGGAGCATTTAGGTTTCCATAACTCAGCTCTTGTAAATAGTGCTACAGTAAACATAAGAGTGCAGGTGTCCTTTTGAATTAATGATTTCTTTGTCCTTTGGGTATAACTGGGTCATAGGGTAGATCCATTTTTTACTAATTTTAGGAACCTCTACAGAACTTTCCATGATGGTTAGACCAGTTTGCATTCCCACCAGTGTGTTAGAGGGTTCCTTTTCTCCACATCCTTGCCAGCATTTGTTATTGCTTGTTCTGCCCGTTTCTTGACAGGCTTGCTTGCTTTGTTTTTGTTCATTGTGTAAGCTCTTTGTGGATCACTGATACAGTCCCTTATCAGCTGTACGGAATGCTAATAGTTTCTCCCAGTCTGTGGATTGTCTTAGTTTTGGTTATTGTTTCTTTTCTTTTTAGTTTCATGTGATCCCATTTGTTTATCTTTTCCTTCATTTTCTTTGCTTCTGGGGATTAGTCCTCAGAGTTGTTTCTGAGATGTATGTCATGGAGAGTTGCCTCTGTTTTCTTCTGTGTATTTTATGGCTTCAGGTCTTCCATTCAAGTCTTATATTCATTTTGCATTGGTTTTTGTGAATGATATGAGGTAGTAGTCTAGTTTCATTCTTTTACATGTAGGTGTCCAGTTTTCCCAGCACCATTTATTAAAGAGACTTTCCTTGTTCCAATGCATATTCTTTGCTCCTTTGTCATAGATCAATTAATCACACATGCGGCTTTATTTCTGGGTTTTCGTTTGTTCTTTTTTTTTTTTTTTTAAGATTTATTTATTTATGCATACAGAGCTGAGATACAGGCCAGAGACAGATTTCCTAATGTTTCACATGCCTAACTGAGCAAACTTACAGCTGTACTTAGGAAAATCTCAAATTCTTAAACAACTCTTATAAGTTGAATAAATTAAACTTAAATTCTCATAAACATATTATAATATTAAAGGTTGTTCCCTCCCTGGTGGCACATGGGTTAAAGTGCAGCACTTTGAAGCTATATGCAGCCACTGCAGCACAAGTTTGATCCCCACCAGGGAGAT